ACCAGGTCGTCACTCCATCTAGTGGGGGGACGCCCTACATTTCGTCCGCCGGTACGAGGCCGCCTCTCGAGAACCTTTTTTCCTGCTGCCACTTCAGCTTACTAATCCGTTGGGCTAGGTCGGTTACTCTGGTTCTACTGCAGATATCCTCATTTCTAAGTTTATCACGCAGAGAAACCCCGAGCATAGCCCTCTCCATAGCTCGCTGAGCGACCTTGAGGTTCCTCATCCGGCCAGCAGTGAAGGACCACGTCTTAGTTCCATAGGTCCTCACTGGCAACACGCACTGGTTGTACAGTCTCGTTTTCAAGTTTTGAGGTATACCTGACGAGAAGATGTGCCGTAATTTCCCAAACGCTGCCCAACCAGGGTGAATCCGTCAATTGATCTCTCGGTCGAAGTTGGACTTACCTTTTTTTTTTACGGGAGGAAATCCTCATGGACTACCTCCGCCTGGAGAAAGGCGGAGGGGCGTGCCGGACTCTTACCAGCTAAAACCACCCCGGTGTCTCCTCACACGTGCGCGTGGGGCCGCGGGAATCCAAATTCTCCCGCAGCCCCACACTAGTGCTGGGCCGGTCTATCCGGGCCTCGTCTCCTGCACGGGGTAGTGAGCTGTTCACATACCGCGTATCGCCTCAGGGGCGCGCGCCGACACCGCGCGCGCCTCCGCCTCGGGTCCATCGAGTAGGGGTGGCGGGGGCTTCCCCAAGTCCCTCGCCCCTGGACCCATTCATGGGGGCCGGAAAAGGGCGTTGTCCACCTTCTCCTGCGCCCGGTGCGCCTTCTACGGCCAGGAAAGGGAGTCGGGATCTCCCTTTCCCGTTCCGCAGTTTCCTTCTGCGACATCACGTCCTCGCAAAAGGACACCACCGCATCCCACGACTCTGCGCTACCGACCATCTTCCGCACTAAGGCCGGCAGCGACAGATCGCCTCCTACTTTATTTGTGAGGACACGGCGCTGCTCCTCCCAAGCTACACACTCGGCGAGCGTGTGTTGCGCCGTGTCCTCCCCGCAATGGACGCAGTGGTGGCACCGAGCGTCCGGCTCCCTGTCTATGCGGCGCAGGTACTTGCCGAAGCAGCCTTGCCCCGACAGCACTTGCGTCACCCTAAACGACAGGGAGCCGTGCCTTCTCCCGAGCCAGTAGTCGAGTACTGGCCAGATCGCCTCGACGGTAGCGAGGCCGGCGGTAGGGCGCAGAAGCCTTTGCCGCCATTCCGCCACCAAGACCTGACGGAGCTCGTCCCGGCGCAGCGCGATCTGCCGCTGCACCGGCCTCGAGCCCCGTGCCCGCTCTTCCTCGCGCCATCGATATAATGACGCGAGTACTTTTGCCTCTAGATCCCAGGGTGGGGATCCGGCCAGGACGCAAGCCGCCTCGTAGGAAATCGTGCGATACCCGCGGCCGACTCTGACGGCCATCGCCCTCTGCGGTTTACGCAGAATGGCGAGATTGCTGGCCGTCATGTCCATCGCCCACACAGGGGCCCCATACAGGGCCATGGACCGCACGATTCCCACGTACAACCGCCTACAGGCGGCGCTCGGGCCCCCCAAGTTGGGAAGCAACGTTGATAGCGCGCCCGCTGCACCCATCAGCTTGGGCACCAGCCGCCGGAAGTGGGGTCCGAATTCCCATCGGCTGTCGAGCACCAATCCCAGATACTTCATGGTGGACTCGACACCTATCCGGGCCCCGCTGACCACGATGTGTGAACCCGGCGGCGGCGCGCGTCGAGGGCCATGGAACACCATGGCCTCCGACTTGTTTAGGGCCACCTCCAGGCCCAGGCGCAGGATGCGGTTCACCACTTGTGACACCGCAGCCGTGGCAACCAACGCTGCTTCCCTGTGCGAACTCACCCGGGCAGTGACGAGCGTGTCGTCCGCATAACACGTCAAGTCGGCGCCCGACGGGAGTTCACCTCTCAGCACCCAGTCGTAGCCGATGTTCCACATGAGCGGTCCCAAGACCGATCCCTGCGAAACACCGCACGACATGACGCGCCGACCAGCGCCGTCACGTACCCAATAGGTAACGCATCTCTCCTCAAGGTTAGCCCCTATTATGCGGCGGAGGTAGGGAGGCACGCGATGGTAATTCAGTGCCTCCCGAATACAACTCCAGGGTAGGGTGTTGAAGGCGTTGGAGATGTCTAAAGACACTGCCAGCACCACCCCACCCCGGGATATTGTCTCCTCCGCCAGGGCCCTCACGCGCGTAATAGCGTCTATGGTGGAGCGCCCGCGACGAAAACCAAACTGGTTCTCGTCCAGGTCCGGCCCCTCTCTGCACAAGTGGCCGACGAGGCGATCTGCGATGATACGCTCAAGAAGTTTGCCCGCCTCGTCGAACAGCACTATGGGCCGGTACGCGGACGGAGAGTCCGCGGGGTGCCCCTCCTTCCTGAGCAGGACCAGCCTCCCCTCCTTCCACACACTGGGAAACTGACCCTGCTCGAAGTTGGACTTACCTAGTCGAACTATTTGTCCCAGGTAAACATACTCGTCAACAACTTCGAGCTTAGTGCTCCCAACAACTACCGGCATAGGTTGATCAACATGATCTTTGTTTTGTCCATGTTCATCTTAAGACCTATCCGTTGGGAAACACTATTGAGGTCATTGAGCATAGTGCTTAGGTCCTCCAGCGATTCTGCCATAAGGACTATATCGTCGGCAAATCGGAGGTGAGTGATGTACTCGCCATTGATGTTAATACCGTATCCTTTCCAGTCCAGAAGCTTGAAAACGTCTTCCAATGGAGCGGTGAAGAGTTTTGGGGATATAAGGACATCCTGTCTTACACCTCTCTGCAATTGGATAGGTTTCTTACTCTGTTTCTGCACTCGGATAGCCATCGTAGCCCTACTGTACAAGCACTTCAGCACTTCGATATACCGACAGTCAACTTAAGAAGCTCCGCTGCAATTCCATCTTCGCCTGGGGCCTTGCCGTTTTTAAGGTGCTGGAGAGCCATTCTAATCTCACCAGACTGACGTCCGGGATATGATCGGAATAGTGTCGGATAATACTCTTCTTCTTCTTCTTTAACTGGTTACTTCACCTACGAAGATTCCAGATGTGGAGGATCTTGCACCTTCCCTATTAGACCTTCTGCTGACCTCTCATCCGGACGGATATCAGGATCCGGAGTATGGTGCACTTACGCATATATCGCGGTTCCACGCTATTTATAAAAAAATAAGTTTTTGAAATATATATATACAAATTCTACAATTCGACGCGTATGTTTTTTTATTAAATTAAATTATTAATTAATTTTATTAATTAAAAATTTGGAGAAGCGTATAAGCATTCCAAAAGTGTATAATACTTACTTACTTGTATACTTAAATGGAAAACTTTCAAATAATGTGTATGTATATATGTGAAATATACAGGTTGTCCCAGTAATGGTAGATCATCTGGTGGGTACGTGCTTGTGCGGGGGGGGGGGGGGGAGAGGTGGTCTTGGTTCCCCAAAAAAAACTCCATCCCGAACGGTTCGCGCTCCACGTCATTTTTTATGAAATTCCGAAAATTCGTACTTCTGCTAACATTTGTGGATTTTCTTTTAATGTGTTCCCTAATAATGATGTTTCCAAATTACTCTTAAAAGTTTTCACCTTTAGAATTAGGGTGACAAACGAGCACACAGTCCACCTGATGGTAAATAGTTGCTGTGGCCCAAACACATTTCACACATCACACTCGATTACGAATCAAAATGCAGATGCGTTTTGGCTGCCTGCTGTTTGACCTGCTGTGGGTAATATTTTACAAGACGGCACTAAACATTAGTTTTCATTTTTTACTTTATTTAACTGCTAAGTTTGAGCACCTGTGGTGAAAAAAAACGTATGGGATCTGTGTGGCCTACTATTCAAAAAATCTGCCTACATTATAAGGATTTTTTTTAATTGCGCAAGCACAGGTGCACTCTCTATTCCCTCACTCTCATAGTCCGATGGGACGGTAAATCGACACGACCGGAGAGAGATCAGGCGCAGGGCCAATGGCTTTATGTGCTTTCCGAGGCACGGGGGTGAAACACCGCCAACTTCCTGATTCCGGGCAGCTACTGAGAATTTCTTGATGGAAAAATTCAATAACCGAGTTATTGACCCGACTCGGGATTCGAACCTGGGACCTCATGATCAGCAATTGCACTACTATAACCCTTAGACCCACGAGGCAGTAAAAACATATATAACTTTAACAGATTTTTAAATATCGATTTGACAATCGATTTTAACTGTCGATTACTTTCCTTTGCCTATCTTACTTAGTTCCCGTCATCTTGCTTCATTTTTCAGTGAGTATTTGTCAGTAAATATATTCTTGATTCGGAAAAACCCTCTCGGGCAGAAACGGGTGGGAATTTTATCTATAACTTCGAATAAAGTGACTCATATTGAATAAAACACCAACATTCATTGATGAGATCAGAACATTTATTTCTATAACATAATATTTAACTTGTGATTCCGAAGAGAATCAATTGGTTGCGCGATTTACAAAGGGATAGCGCCATCTATGGAGAGTTTTTATAACTAAAATAATCGTACTGTATACCGTGTTAAATGTTGTTGGAAACTATGAAGCTATCTGTTTACAATGAATTGATATTATTTTAATCTACAATAATGTGGATATTTATTTAACAACTAGACATTCCGCCCACCATGGCCAGAATGGTCATTATTCCCGCCCACCATGAATCAACAATCAACGAATGTGGACTGTAAATATATAAGGTAAAATATGAAAGTGGGTAGATCCAAATGGTTGAATCATAACAAAAAACAAATAGGTAAATAGGATCTTTAAAATCCTAGAAATCTTATTAAATAAAGAATCCAAAGATATTTAATTTAAACATTTACATTTACAACATGCTCATTTCACCAAACAAAAAACAACTTAAGCTTGAAAATAACAATAAACGTGTCAAGCATTGACTGACACGAAAGAGAATAAAAAAGTAGGCCTTATTCTGCCACTGGCAATACACACAATTTTACAATAGGCCTTTTAATTATGGCATCTTTGCATTTGAGACTCACAACCCGCGTAATATTGTCCACACCCTTATGTTTTTCTATAATAATACCCATAAGCCATTTCGCTGGAGGAAGATCATCCTCCTTAACTAAAACTAAGTCCCCAATTTTAGGCTCTGGTGTTTGGTTTGCCCACCGGTGACGTTGCAGAAACTGAGTCAAATATTCGCTAGACCACCTTCGCCAGAAGTTCTGTAACATTTTCTGGGTTAGTTGCCAGCGTTTCAGAGAAGATATTGACGAAGTTTCATAATTGGCATCTGAGACAAGCACCAAGGGTTCACCGATGATAAAATGTCCCGGTGTGAGCGGTGTTGGATCTTGTGCATTGGTGCTAACCTGTGACAACGGTCTAGAGTTAAGACATGCCTCAATTTCATACAGCAGAGTAGATATCTCCTCGTAAGTTAGGGTCTCTGTGCCGATCACACGCTTCAGGTGATGTTTTGTGGACTTTATCCCACTCTCCCAAAGTCCACCGAAGTGAGGAGCTCTCGGTGGGATAAAATGCCAGTTGGTCCCAGCAGTAGCTAAACTCTCAGCGATTTCTCTCGTCATGGTTGAATTTTCCTGAGCTACTAGGGTTCTTAGCTCGCGCGCAGCACCCACAAAATTTGTCCCATTATCGCTGTAGAGTACAGCGCAATGGCCACGTCTAGAAACAAACCTTTTGAAGGCTGCGAGGAATCCCTGTGACGTAAGATCGGTTACGGCTTCCAAATGTACGGCTCTTGTAGCCATACATACGAATAGGCATATATATCCCTTGTACGCTCGATGACCTCTTCCTTTAGAAGTCCTTATCTGGATGGGTCCAGCATAATCCACGCCGCTTTGATAGAATGGGCGGATTGGAGTGACCCGAGCTACAGGTAGTTGTCCCATGAGTTGGTGTCTACATTGTGCTGCATATCGTATACATGTGACACATTTGCGTACAAATAATTTGGTACGATTTTTTACATCGAGGATCCAATATTTGGATCGTAGGTAATTGATCATCAATTGAGGACCTCCGTGTAGGGTTCTTTGATGGGCATCTGCAATGATAAGATTTGTGAAATGCGATTTCGATGGCAGGATAATCGGGTGTTTTTTATCATCACTTACATCAGCTCTCTCAAGACGACCACCAACTCTCAAAATTCCTTCACCGTCCAGGAAAGGGGTCAAAGTGGTAAGTTTGCTTTTCTTATTAACTGCACCTCTAAACTTAATATCTTTGATTTCCTGTGCAAAGTACGTAGCTTGACACGCCTTTATGCTGATTTGAATTGCTCTTGATAGTTCTCTGCAAGTTAACCAACTCGGAAATGTTGTTGCTTCAGTAGATTTTTTCGTCTTTGATATAAATCTCAAACAATAAGCTATAACTCTGGTCAATTTTTGTAAAGACGAAAACTTAATCCATAATTCAAATTCATCTTCCCTGGTCACATGACAAACTTTCTTTCCTTTCTCTTCCAAATCCGTGTCGCTTAACTCCTTCCTGTCATATTCCATATTCGTGTCCTTTAACCATGCAGGTCCAGCTTTCCAGAGGGGAATTGCTTCACATTCCGACGGGTTGACTCCACGGGAAGCGCAATCTGCCGGGTTGTCAGTAGATGACACATGTGACCACTGATCTCTGTTCAAAATGTTCAAAATTTCTGAAACTCGATTTGCAATGAACGTCTTCCAGCGGCTTGGATGACTGCTCAACCAAGCCAGAACGATTGTGGAGTCCGTCCATGCATGTAGATTTGTCTTCGGTACTTTCAAAACTTCAGAGACTTCCCTTAATAATCTCGCCAAAAGAACGGCGCCGCACAACTCTAGCCTCGGGATAGACACTTGCTTTATTGGGGCTACCTTGGTTTTACACGTAATGAGAGTAACCCTGACAGTTCCAGATTCATCTACCACGCGAGCGTAAACTACAGCAGCATACGCATCCGCAGAGGCGTCACTGAATCCGTGTAACTCCAGTTTCATACATGTCTTGTTCATACCAATCCAGCGCGGCAGACGAAATTGTGTAAGTGCCGTAAGTTCACCTCGGTAAGAAATCCAATCATTGAGTAGTTTCGGTGGGAGCTCTTCATCCCAACCGATTCCCGCTAGCCACAGCTGTTGAATGAAGATTTTTGCTTTTATAATGGCTGGAGCAATCCATCCCATAGGATCAAACAGTCTTGCAATATCTGATATAACCTTTCTTTTTGTTATAGGTTCTACGAGTGGCGGTAGCTGCACGGAGTATTCGAAGTTGTCGGTACGTCGATTCCAGGTAAGTCCGAGTATCTTAATGATTTCATCTATTTTGAGTTCCAAATTGCTTTCTGTTGTTTCTATTTCTTTGCTTATTTCCTTTAACAGAGTTTCATTGTTGCTTGACCATTTCTGAAGTTCAAACCCCCCTTTGCTCAGTAATTCGTTGATCTCTTTATAGATTTGTTTTCCTTCCAGGACTGTTTCGCAGCCAGTAAGTAAGTCATCCATATAAAAATCATTTAAGATTCTTTCAGATGCTAATGGAAACGGTTTTCCGTCATCATACACGAGCTGGTGCAGTGTTCTAACTGCGAGATATGGGGCTGCAGCAGTGCCAAATGTGACTCGCAACAATCGAAAATGTTCAATAAGTTGTTCCGTCGTGGCTCGCCAAACCAATCGCTGGTAATCTATATCTTCACTAGAAATCAATATTTGGCGGTACATTTTGACTATGTCGGCGACCAAACATACAGGGTGAAGTCTCCATCTCATCACCAAGTGACGCAGATCCGATTGAAGAGTTGGACCTATCATCAATTCACTGTTGAGAGATACACCGTTGTTATCGCGACACGAAGCATCGAAGACAACTCTCAGTTTGGATGTTGTCTTGTTAAGCTTCACTACGGCGTGATGAGGTAAGTACACACTATCTGATTTGTTGATCTCATCTTTTGGTACCTTTTCCATGTGGCCATGTTCCAGGTACTCATCAATAACGTCGTAATAGAGATCTTTAAGCTGTGGTGACCGTACTAAACGCTTTTCTTGCATAAGGAATCTGCTCACTGCAATTTCCCGCGAATTCCCTGATTTGCAGCTCGGGTTTTCCATCTTGAATGGTAGTTTGACGATATATCGTCCTGAAGGGTCTCTTTTGGTGGTTTTCTTATAGAATTCCTCACATCTTTGTTCCTCAGGTGTGTGGTGAGTTTTGTTGAGAAGACATTGATCAGATTCGATTTCCCAAAATTGTTTAAGATCAAATTCTTCTTCGATAACTTGAGTGTGTAAAGTGGTTACGGAGTTACTACAGCTTGATTCCGTTTTACGACCTTTAGATACTTGGCCCGACAAAATCCAGCCGAATCTAGTGTTTTGCGCTATAGGGGTTCCTATTGGACCTTTAAATAACCCTTCTAATAATATTTGACAATAGACCTCTGCACCCAACAGCAAGTCTATTTTGTTCGGAACGTTGAAATTTGGATCTGCCAATCTCATTTTTGGCATATAATATAGCTGTATGTCAACCTGTCGTTCAGGAAGAAATGTGGTAAGTTTGGTGAGCACGTGTGCACTCACTTTAATGTTGAAGGTTGGATCATGGATCGATTGTAGTTTGATGTGTACTACATGTTTAGAGTTGCACTCACTCCCTACTCCAAATATGACACTTTTGCTTGTTTCCTTCTTCAGCCCAAGTAATTGGACTGCAAACTCCGTTATAAACGAAGCCTGTGATCCTTGGTCCAGTAAAGACCTAAGTGTCATAAAAGATCCGTTATTTGTTTCAGCTTTTACTAAAGCGGTTGCTAAAAGCACTTGACTCTTGTTGTTAGAGAAACAAGTGGTAATGTTGGTCTGATCATTTTCGTCTGATGCTGTCGCTGTTGCCGCGACAACATTGTTACTATTCGATTGAGTGGTTACCTTTACATTATTTGATTGAACGTTGGTGGTGGTTGAATGCAATAGCGAGTGGTGTTTCTTTTTGCAAATTCTACATCTGGTGGGCAAACGACACATTATGACCGAATGATTTGCGCCTAAGCAGTTAAAACACAAGTTGGAGGTTTGGACAAAGTTACGGCGTGCTAATAGAGTTTCATTTGCGAACTTCTTACAATTTCCGAGCTTATGATCATTAGCAGAACAGTAGGAACATGGAACAGATATCTTGTCATTATTTTTTGTGGCTACATGATGGGATTGAGTACATTTTGTGATTTTAGGATTCAAAAATTCGAGTGATCTGTACCTGTGTTCTAAAAACTCTAAAAATTGCTTTAATGTGGGCAAGTCGTTTGTACAGTCACAAATTTTTGCTTCCCACTGCTTGCGAGATTCACTATCTAATTTTGAGGACAAAAGATAAATCACAATAATATCCCAATTTTCAGTGTTCACACCAGTATTTTTCAACGCATTTAAACACTCGTTAGTAGTATCAAACATTTCTTTAAGAGCACTTGAATTTTCATGAATAATATTTTTTTGGCTAAAAAACCTTTTTAAAATACAGTTAGTTACATATTTCTTATTGTTAAATCTTTTCTCCAAAAGATCCCAACACACTGAATAATTGTCACTTGTTATTGGTAGATTTCGCAATAGTTGTTCCGCTTCACCGGTTAAATAGCTTTTTAGGTAAGTGAAGTTTTTGCACTTTTTGTAACGAATTATTATTGTGAATGAGTGATAAGAAGAGGTCACGAAACGTGGTCCACTCTGAGTACCTTCCGGAGAAACTAGGATTAGAAATCTTTGGAAGCTGCACACTAATTTGTTCTTCATTGCTAAGCAAAGTGTCCTGCGTTTTGGTCGGTACGCGAGTACATTTTTCCAAGCTTGCCTTTAATTCTGTTTTATAATCTGCGTATAAGTCTTCTGTTTTGGTGTAAAAATCCTCGTTAAAGTAATCTAACTCTGCATAATCAGCATCACTAACTTCACTAATAAGTTGTTCATGTGCTTTGTTAAATGTTTCCCACTGTCCATTCAAAATATCAATTCTAGTTTCTATGTAGTTTGAAGTTAGCCTATCTTTTGGAGATTTCTTAAAATTGACTCTGGCATTTTCCATTCGGTGGTACATATCTGACTGAGCTCTTATTTTGCTTTCCATTATTACCTTTATTTATTTGAAATATGACAATTTTTTTTTTACAAGTCCCGTTGAGTGGATAGAGCAAGTTATTTTTTCTATGTCCAGTATGTGCGTGATTTTTCTAAGTGTTTGGGTTGTACACACTTAGGCAAAATCGGGCATGGATTCCCCGTTTCAACCACAATTCAACATAAAATTTTACAAGTCCATGTACTACCAACAAATCTTCAAATTTTTCTAAGTTGAATATCTCTTTGCTTTATGGTTCAATTTATTTTCAATTTCAAACTTCAATTGCCAATACTGATTTAAATGTACTTACAGTTTTACGCCCATACAAACTTGCTCTCCTCAGTTGCGTCTGCTGCTCTGCTCCGTATAAATCACAACCGCTAGGTGTCGCCACTGCTCACTGGTTCACTTCACTCTACATCCGGCTCCGAAGGCCCATGAATAAAACACCAACATTCATTGATGAGATCAGAACATTTATTTCTATAACATAATATTTAACTTGTGATTCCGAAGAGAATCAATTGGTTGCGCGATTTACAAAGGGATAGCGCCATCTATGGAGAGTTTTTATAACTAAAATAATCGTACTGTATACCGTGTTAAATGTTGTTGGAAACTATGAAGCTATCTGTTTACAATGAATTGATATTATTTTAATCTACAATAATGTGGATATTTATTTAACAACTAGACACATATAATACTGATCGAACTTCACCTAGGAGTTCGTTTGATATATATATATATATATATATATATATATATATATATATATAACATAAACATAAACATAAATACTCACGCCTGTCACCCAGAGGGGTAGGCAGAGATTATGGACTTCCATTTGGCACGATCCTGACACACCTCTCTCGCTTCCTCCACATCCATATACCTACGCATACACGCTCGTCGGTTAAAGGTACTCTTTTTTTTTTGCCCATTTTTAATATATCGCCAATTTGGTCGATAAACTTTCGCCTAGGGCGACCCTTCCCGACTATGCCGTTCACCTCTGCAATATAAATTTGCTTTGTCACTCTTTCCTCATTCATTCTTTCTACATGGCCAAACCACCGAAGCATTCCTTTCTTAATCCTGGTCACAACATCATCTTGCAAACCACACTCTTCTCTTATTAAACAATTTCTCACTCTGTCATTCAGATTCATCCCTAACATACTCCTTAATGACAGCATTTCTACAGCATTTATTCTACTCTCGTGCTTCTTCTGCCACACCCAACTTTCACTACCATACATTAAAGTAGGTACTAACACAGCATTGTGAATTGCCATACGTGCCTTTTTGGACACATTCTGACTTTTCACAATAGAGTGTAGAGCCCCATTCACTCTTTTTCCTGCATTCACTCGTCGTTCTATATCCTTATCATATCTACCATCCCTGCTAAACACACATCCCAAATATACAAACTCATCTACTTGCTCTACCAACTCCCTTCTATTCTTATTTCACATATCGTTTTACTTTCTTCTCTTTCAAAAACCATAACTTTCGTCTTACTTGCGTTCACTTTCATTCCCTTTTCTTTTAATGTCCTGTTCATTAATGTAACCATCATTTGCAACTCGGCTGCCGACGACGCAAGTATGACTTGATCACCGGCGTACAAAAGGCATTTGACGGTTAACTCACCCATTCTTAACCCGCATTCTTCTACTTTCAAATTTTCCAAACAACTGTCCATAAATAGGTTGAACAACCACGGGGAAGCCACACAGCCCTGTCTGACACCTTTGTGGATGCCAAACCAGTCCGAGTAGGCCCCGTTGATCCTGACACAAGCACTAGAATCCCTATATAGAGATTTCAATGCCTGTATCAGACCAGCGCTCAACCCAAATGAGTTCAGTGTTTGCCATAACACATCCCTGTCCACTCTGTCATAAGCCTTCTCCAAGTCTATGAACGCACAAAAAACTTTTTGGTTTTTGGCCAAAAACTTCTCCGCGATCATGCGCATGGAAAAGATCTGATCCGTACATCCCATTCCCTTTCTAAATCCCGCTTGTACATCCCAAATTTTTCCATCAGTTTCTTTCATAAGTCTTTCAATTAGTACCTTAGCATACAGTTTTCCCACAATGCTAAGAAGGCTGATACCACGGTAGTTTTTACAGTCCTGCTGTGATCTTTTTCCCTTATATATTGGGACTATCACGGCTTTGCACCAGTCTCCCGGTACCCGCTTAAGTTCCCAACATAAATTAAACAAGGTGTACAGCAGGTCTGCCACCACTCCTTCTCCAGCCCTCAGCATTTCGAGAGACACTCTATCATAACCGGCTGCCTTACCTGCTTTCATACTTTTCATTGCTTTCATTATTTCATCTATACTTATATCTATTTCATTTAGTTCAAACGTCTCATCACTCATAAACACGCCTTCAAAGTATTCCTTCCATCTCCTTAAACTCAAAACTTCGTCATTTAGAATACAGCCATTCTGGTCTCGTATAGCATTCATTCTAGGCTGTTTTGAATGTCCGCTGGTAGTTCTTACGAGTTTCCAGAACATTTTAATGTTTGCCTGGAAGTTATCCGATATTCTTCTATCAATCTTATCCATTCATTCTTGCTTTTTCCTTTCAACTACTTCTTTTACTCTCTTATTGTAGTGTCTAAAAATTGCCTTTTTCCTTTCAATATCATCATTCATACTGCTAGAATTACTAGCCTTGGTTGCTAGTAAATCTAGCCATGCTTTCTTCTTTGCTTCAACTTCCATCCGTACCTCATCATCCCACCATAACGTGTTATTTTTCCTTTCATTCGTTCTCTTACTTACACCACATACTTCGGTAACTGCATCCACTAAACCTTTCTTGAAATTATACCACACAGTCTCCAAGTCTAAATCATTCATACACAATTCAGCCATACCACTTATATTTTCTCTCAATCTACATTTGAACTTCTCTTCCTCATCTTCATCTTGTAACCTCTCTGTTCTTATACGCTGTAACGCAGTGGTAGACACAGATGTCCGATGCCTCCAACGTCTGAAAAGACCATTAATTCGGCATAAGACCGAGTAATGATCCGTCCCTACGTTAGAGCCCCGGTAAACCCTTGTATCTACCACCGCGCTCCTCATTCTTTCATTAACAATTATGAAATCTATCATACTTCTATCATCACCTCTTTCCCATGTATACGTGTGAATCTTCTTATAACGAAAGAAAGTGTTCGTTACAAAAAGATTCTTAGCCAGGCATACGGCGAGAAGGCTTTCACCATTCTCATTTATACTTTAATCACCAAACGTTCCCAATATCCTTTCATAACCAACCGTTCCATTAAAATCGCCTAATATCATAATATTTTCATTAACCTTGCATTTATTAGCACGATCCTTACCAACTCCCAAAACTGCTCTCGGATATAAGTGGGCATAGACATGTCTGGGGCGTAGACCCCTATAACAAACAACTTCTTTAAGCCCACTTTCATTCGTATAAATAGCAGTCTCGGGCTTATACATTCATACTCTTTCACACAATGACCCATTCTTTCTGAAAGGATGATACCGACTCCCTGGCATGCCCGCTCGGTCTCGTCTACACCAGACCAGTACGCGGTATACATGCCATGTGTAGTGGCATCCTTTCCCTTCCGTTTCGTCTCATTTACACATAACACGTCTATTCCTCTATCATACATCATATCGCATACTTCATCCATCTTATCATTCATTCCTCCACATACATTCAATGTAGCCAGACGGGCTTCCGCAATCCACTTTTCGCTCCTCCTGGGGACAGAACGTGACGGGTAGCGAACCTCGTCGCCGGTTTTCCTCCCGGAGATTCTTCGCACCCCTGCCCCATTAAAGGGGCGCCGGGAACTCAGGGCCATTTCGTTAATTTTTTTTTGCCTCATGGTGCGAAAGTAAGGTGTGGTATTTTTTACGCCGCTACCACACGGCGAGGAGCCGAGTCAGTTCTTTCGGCTTTGTCGCTTGTTTAGCACCACCCGGGGGATACGTGTAGGGTGGGCTAGGATTAGGTGGTCGAAGCCTACGGACGCGAGCGACTCATCCCCCTTATATATATATATATATATATATATATATATACATATATATATACATATATATATATATATATATGTGTGTGTGTGTGTCCGAAATTACAACAGGAGATCCCATTTCTGATCTGATCATCAGGATAGCATTAACTGTTAAAAATAATAAAAGTGTGAGAGCGGATGTTCAACTTGCTCTCTTGCTTACGCAGTTTAATCATTATCAGTAATAAGACAACGTAACGCACTATACATTCAGTATAGTGAAATTACAGTTCGACCACACCGTAACACGTCTCCGCCACAATCACACACCAGAGTAACGTGAGGTACGCAATTACATGATAACACCAAAATAGATCAACCAACAGCAACACTACTTTTTTTTCGTGGGGAAATCCTCATGGATACCTTCCGCTGCGGCGGCAACAAAAGGTTATGCCGGACTCCTACCAGCTAAAACCCCACGGTGGTCACCGTCAGCGTATAAGAGGGGTCCCGGGATCTCCGTTCGGAACGCAACCGGGGCCCCTCCATCGCTTTGCTACACTAATAGCACGTCCCAGGGGCAGTACTTTCTGCCCCCCCCCCCCCCCCCCATCGCACCCTCGCAGTGCTTCCACGATGTCTCGAGACCACTTCCGAGCCATCGTCCTCCTCGCGGGTTACATAACTAAGCGCTCGAGGCCCCCGCCCCGAGCGTCTGCAACCCCGGAGGCCCCGTTTCTGGTAGGGGAACACCGTTTTCAAGAGGAGGGCCGTGACGAACGCCTTGGTGACGTCGTCTCCGCGCGGGATCCGCCCTCACCCGATCCCGCTCAGAAGCCTCCTTCTGAATCATAACAGATTCACAGAAGGTGGCTACGGCCCTCCACGCCGAATCCCCGCTCAGCATCGCCGACACAACTGCTGGCAGAGAGAGGTCCCGTCCGATGCGGTTTACCAGGATTGTCCGT